CCCCCTGCATCGCGATGGCAGGACGCGAAGTTCTGCTGCTTGGTTCAGCGTCTTCCTTGGGGCGGGACGCGAATCTGGAGGAACGTTCGCCGCGGGTCGAAGCCCATGGCCCGCATTCGAGGGAGAATTGTTCGTAGCGCTCGACCATAATACCCCTCCTCGACGTCGAAGCTCTCATGGCGCCATTCACTTCCAGCTCCCAAAGAATGTGAAGCTTGCGGCGGAGACTGGAGTAAAGATCTGAGAAGACATGGCGGTCGCAAAGGAGGTCGGAGGAGGAGATGGTGTTAGTGACTCGACAAATGAGGTTGGAGGCGGCAGCTTAGGAATTGTCGGCGGCAGCTTAGGAATCGTCGGCGGCCATCTATCCCGACGGCCATCTATCCGAGCTCAGAATAGGTAATTACTTTCATGTGACGTTCGCGAATTTGATGAGAGTGTGTGGAGCGCGAGAGGCATTGGAGAAACAAAGGTAATTGTGCTCTTGATTCGTATAACTTTTTTAATGCTTACTTTGTCCTTCCTCCTCTCCGACCATCGTCGGTTGTTGCCAACCGTTTCTCTGTTGGCGTTCGTAGGAGAGATGACTTGACTTAACGCCAGTATCTTTTCTCTTCGACATCCTTTATTTTTTTCATTGAAACTCTGTTCTTCTACATTTTAGTGTTCATCGTAAGAACTTGACTTAACGCCAGTATCTTTCATAATTTCAGAGGCAGATTCTCTCCAGCTGCAAGGACAAGTAAAACATGGGAGCTTGTTCCTTTGTGTCCCAAAGATTAAAAAGAAGATTAGAACTTGTTCTTCCCTCAAATCTAACTACTTCATCTTACCCATCTTTCAGGTAATTTGTTATCATAAGATTCAACTGTTCTATCCATTATTTTTTCAAACCTTATCTTTTCTTTATCTTATTTTGCCCAGGGGCTCTCCTGTCAATCATGAGGACTTCAATTTCTTCAGCCTATATGAACATCATTGGGCCTTCAAAAGTTTTAGATGCAAATCTCTAAAATCCTCCTAATTTTCAGAAAATAGAAATATGTAGATGCACATACGCCCATTCAGGTGAGAAAAAATCTATGTTGATATTTGAATTTATCATGTCATTTGGGATTGTTTAAAGCTATAAGTTTCTTTTGAAATTCAATTATTTAAAGCAAAATGTTAGCACAAAATTTATCATACTAGCTCGCAAATCCACGTGCTATGATAGCATATGATAACAATTCCACTCAAGAGTGGCTCCTTGACACGGGAGCTACCTCTCATCTCATCTCTGATCATACACAATTACACAACAATCAACCATATTGAGGATCCCAACACATTACATTGGGTAATGGTCTTTAGTTAGGTTAGTTGGAAGAAGTTGTGTGAACCTATCTTTGTTGGAGGGTTGAGTTTTAAAGAACTTCATCATCTTGCTAAAGTAATTTGCCTGAAAATTTGGATCAAATTCAAAGCTAGATCTTCACTGTGGAAAATTTCCATGCATAATAACTATTGTAAAGGAGTGCATCCTATACTCATTTCTATAAAAGTTGGGGACTCTAGTGTGGAAGGGGTTGCCGAAAGTTAAAGGCAAAGCTAAATCTTTTATTTTTTAGAATTTTGAACAAGGCCTTTTAAAGGGACAATTGGTTCATGTAGGAACATTGCTCTAGTGATGGAGGATTATTTCACTACATTGCATGGAGTTTTGTCTTCGATTATAAGTTATTTTCGTTTATGTTAACATTGTAAAGTATGTATTTTGTTCTCCTGCTTGCTACGGTGGGGTTACTCATATACCAACTGCGAGCATGCTTTTGAGATCTAAAAGTCTGTTTTTTTACTTTTTGATTAGAAGTGCTTGCTTGGTTTTCATGAATTGTGGTTTTCTTTTTCCTTTATCATTTTCGGTACTCACTGTTAAGTTAATTGGGCATCTGAAAGTTTCGGAATCAAATTCTGCTTTAGAAGTACTAAAAATATCACTGTCACAGTTTTGTTTTAAACAGTTTTACCAAACAGAGGTAGTATGGTCATTTTTCCAGAAACAGTTGCCCCAAAACTATTTTTACACGTTGCATCAAACAGAAAACCAGCTTCCCCGCAGCAGCTTGCTGGGGTAGCACAGCTGCAGCTGAAAAGCTGAGAAGTTGCAGCTGGGCCAAACAGAGCTTGAGGCTCCGTCGAAAGGGTTGGGGAAGTGCTGGCGCAGCTTAGGAAGGTGTCGAAGTGAACGCCAGCGCAAGAGGATTGCTAGGGACGAGCTGCTGGTACAGTAGCCTGCTGGAGCGACCAACAGGGAAGGCGCATCTTAGGAAGGGTTTGCGGAGGCTGCGACGAACATGGAAGGTGCACGAACGGAAGGCAGCAATTACAGGAAGACTAGGTGGAACCTGGAGATGCGGCAACTGACTTGGATAGGCACAGAGAGGACCGGTAATGTCTGAAGAGGGGCTAGGAAGAAATGGAGGGCGTTGCGGACTGCTAGATGAGGCATAGGAGTGGTGGGCAGCGATAGTATAGCGAGGTAATCACAGCCTCAAGCGAGGTACAGCCGAAACATCTCTCACCGTAAGATACAGCCCCTCGGGAGGGGAACGCCGTCGTGGCAAACCTGAAACCAAAAATCACATAGAAAAGTTGATTAGACATGAGAAAGAACATGTATAAATAGAGAGGAGGGGAGACAACCTTGGAAGGAAGGAGGAGAAAAATTAGTAAGGGCTTAAAGGGGCGAGCAAAGGCTAGGAGGAGGGAGTGTGGCAACGACTAGGAGGCGTGGGATTAGGGCACAAGAAAGAAAGGATCGCGGAAGCAAAGCGGAGCGGGATCGAGAAAAAATAACTAACGGACCAATCCGATCCAGCAGGGGTTGTTGGACCGAATTGCTCTCATTTACGCCGGTTTGATGTGCTGAAGCAGGGAGCGAGAACGAGCATGCTGCATCATTGCTTCACTACCAATGCAATTCCAGTCCCTCATTTGAGTACATAAATTGAATTGAGAAAGCACTAAAGTGGTCATATTTAACTTCATTCATTCAATAGCAATAATTCAAATCGTCATCATAGAACATATTCATATAAATAGTGTTATAATCATAAGGTCAAACAATTAAATGCAAATCGAATCATATCTAGTAATAACAAACTTAAATTTACATAGTCTAATCTAAATATGATAATACATAATCTCATAATTCAAATTTTGAAAAAAAAAATCATAGACATGAATGGTGATGCAGTGCATTATAGGCATGCCACAAAGCCTATGACGCATAATTAAGGAGAAATCCAAGTATAAATGTAAATGCAATTGTTCAAGTGTACAAGTTATACTTTAAGACATTTTGTAGTCTAGTAAGTGTATGTATTTGGTCTAAAACTTCCTATATTATTGAGCGTCGAAAAGGTATAAATTTATATATTTATATGCCAAATACATCTAAGGTTCATAATATGAAAAAATGAAGGTAAAAATAATCCAAAACTAACCTCTTGGTTAAATTTTCCTAGTCTTGATCCTTTTGGACTCATAAGTTGGTAGGAGCCACATGGACGTCGATAAGTCAAATCCAGCATGAGGGGGCAGCCATGGAAGGTTGCTAGTCAATCCAAATTAGCAATATTGTGATCAAACCACTCTCATAAAAAAAAAAGGGTGTGCCTCTGCATCACCAAGTAACCACACAACCACCTCCTACAGTCAAATAACCATTACAATTCCCTAGGAATTTCAAACTTTTCAATGAAAAAATTGAAAGGGGTCGACACTAAAAACATCTCTTTTCTGTCAATAATTTTCAAAGATGGCTTGAATGAATTTTAAAATTCATTGGTAAAACAATTACTTTCTTTAGCCTGGTGGCTGAGAGGCTTTCCTTCGATAAGATTTTTTTTTTTTGGGCATTTTTTTTTTTTGTCAGTAAGTTCTAAATAGACTCATCCCTAACCTGTTTATTTTAATTTCATCTACCATCACATCATAGAAACCTACCTTCTCTTTTTAAAAATTTGGAAGATACGTTGAGTTCTCCAAAATTGGCCTACTCTATGTTAAAAGACCTAGTCTCAATTTAGCCCTCCTTTGCCCAGCAAATATTTCTTAAAAAATTGCAAAAAACTCCATAACCATACTGCAAACATCTCCACGCCTCAAAGTGTTTCCAACCATCTTATATAAGAAAATTTATAAAAAAATAAAGCAAGGTGTCAAATCGGCCATATTAGACTTTTTATGGACTAGTCTTGCTACTTCTTGTAATTCCCAAACTTAATTTAAAAAAATCCTTAAAACTCCATATCAATACTTTAAAATTTCCTATGTCATCTCGAAGTGATTTCAAGTCCACTGAACCCTCCATCTAAAAAGGCTATTTGTCCAAAGTTAAACATACACGAAATCGATTAAGATGGGTTCTCATGTTCTGGCTGAAAGCTAGTCACTCCATCACCCTCTAAACTCTTCCAAAACAATTCATGGGACTCATAATGGATTGGATAACTACGACAGCAAGCAAAAGCCATGGGATGATTGGTTTATGGCTTATCAAGCTTTATAGATTATTTTGGCTTATTTGAAGGTTTGTGCTGCATCAGCTAGATTTTTCCTAAGCGGTCATTTCCATCATGCTGTTTATGGCTCATCCATATGCATAGCAATTGGCAAGTAGTATCTAATATATTCTAGCTAATGCATGCTGGAGATGCTTAGGAGCGGTTTTGGAGCACTTTTATTTTTTATTTTATTTTGTTTTGTTTATATTTTGATTTGAAGCAAAACATCATTTGGCATGTTTAATTACAATATGGTTATTGTTGAAAACACTCAAATCACCTAAAAACTATTTTTGAGTATTTTTAAAAATACATTTATTTGTTTTTAGAAACAAAAAATAAAAATAAATTAAAAACAAGTTAAAAAAATATGTTTTCAAGAATAATGGAAAAAAATCAAAAACAAAAAATAAAATTAATCCCAAACAAGCCCTTATGTTCTGAAATCACCTTCATCCAATCTCTTAACTAACTCTGGATATGTTTCGCCAGACAGGGTACTCTGCTGCAATTCAGTGTCGCTGCCTACCCGAGCTTCAGGGTATTCTGCTAATACCTTCATTGACTAACTGAAATTTAGATCACGTTTACACAAGTGGGATTGATTAATCCCATAACTAGGAGCTCCAATTATGAAGTCAAGCAGGCATTTACTCCAGCATAGCTAGACATACCTGCTTCAGTTGGAATGAAAGCATGTTCTTCAACTCATCCCAATCATGCCTGCAGTCGAGTTTTTATGACTGGCATTAAATTATGTAAAGCTCAACATAATGTTTTCTAGCATTTCTGAATAATCCATACATTACTCAAAATTTAAAAAAATAATACCTATAAAACAGAAATGCATAAGGACAAAAAGAAAAAGCAATTACACGAAATCTCCGCCACAAAGAAAGCAAAAAATTTCAAGAAATGCAGAAAGAATGGCATCCACATAATAACCAGCTATTCTATTAATATCATTGTCGCAATTATAAATCAGCGCAGAGAGTAAGAAACAGTAAGAATATGCTTTTGGAAAAGAAAATCAGAAAAGAATGTAGTAATGTCCCTTGCCTAGACAACGTATTGAAATACTTTCGATTCAACGCAAATAATAATTAGGGGTGTAAGCGAGTTGAGCCTAGCTCGAGTCATGCCTAAATCGAGCTCAGCTCTCAGTCAAAATGCAAACTCAAGCTCGACTCTCAATAATGATAGCAGGCTCAAGAGTCGGCTCGTAAGCTCAAGCCAAAAATTATATTATCAAATGAACACACCATAAAAGGCATCGATGGCCAGAAGAGTGCCACAACAGCTTGTCGGAGAATGCATCAATGTAATCATCGATTAGCTAATCAAGCCGGCTCGTGAGCCAACGAGTCAAGCCTAAATGAGCTTGAACCAGAGCTGTTTAAATACTAGAGCTTTTGGCTCGATAAGCTCTGACTCCCAAGTTCGTTAATGAGTTAAGCTCGAGCCTGCTTGGCTCACTTACACCCCTAATAGTAATTAGCTACATAAGTCATCTTATCCAAACATTAGAGTATGCTTAATCAATTTTTCTTCAATTGATTCTACTATAGCTAAATCGTTTTCAATTGCTTATGAACAAGTGAAGCTCGACCAACCATTTTTCTTTGGTAGCCCCAGGAACAATTGGTTATTTGGTATAAATCAAGCATTACGAGTGGGGGAAGGAATGGATGTGAACGTTTCAACTTTATAAGGAGAATCGAAATCCCCATTTCGAACCAAAACAACTTCAACGCCCTGGGAAGCAGGTAGATACTAGATCGAGACGAGGGTTCCAAACCTTCTGATCGAAGAAAATGAAGTCGAAGACAAAGTACTTGATCAAGCGGCTTGAGGAAAAAGAAGCGACGAAATCGTGTGATGGGTCGAAGATAGCACGCGAGCGATCGACCGACGTTTGCGAGCATTTTGTCATTCGGAAGAAGGGATCGAGCGATCCTTGTGTTCAATTTGTGCAGGCGGCAGCATCGACAAGCTAATGCTTGTGAAGGGGAAGGTGACGTTGGCGATCGAAGTCGAAGGAGGTAACGTTGTAGAGCAAGCTTCGGCTTCGTTGGGCACAAAGAAGCAAGCAATGCTAAGGCTTAAACGTCGAAACTGTGCCAAGTGAGTTTATGATCGAGCCTTAGAACCTTGAGAGCTAGGAAACAAATTGGTTTCAACAGAGAAAATCCTAACTTTAGTTTTACTATTATTTTAAGTAGATGTTATTAATATAAAAAATTCATTGAAGAAATATCAAAAGCATGTATGAATAATAAATTCTTGTAAAATTTTAAGAGAATGAAACCTTGATAACATAGGTTTATAGTATGTTCTTTAATACGAAGAATTTCAGTATGCATATTTTGTAATATAAGAATTTCATAAGAATTCATATCAAACTTTATTTAGTGAAGTTTTATTAACCAACTAGAATGATTACTCAATGAATGTCTACCATCAAGTTTAAAATCTTTAATTATAATAAATGTAACTTCATGAAATTATTTTATTCAAATGTATATTTAGATAACCATTATTTTATAGCATAATAAGTGAGTTATATTAATTTTACTTTCAATATCTCTTATAGGTTAAATGATTGTAATGGACGAAGATTAATCATGTTAAATAAATAACAAATAAAATAAATTCTACTAATTAAAAAAACTAAAATTTAGGGTACATGAAAATAATTATGATAAATCGATTACTAGATTTTTTTTTAAAGTTATATTACTTTTAGAGAAAGAGAAATTTAAATATTACTTACATAAGTAAAAATATGTCAAAATAATTAAATAATTAAATAATTTGATTAATTATAGTGATGTTGGAGTTAACCAAAAATCCAATAAAGCAATTTTCTTTACTCAAATCAAGGTTACAAGTTTCAAAACCGCTAGGGCCAGAAAGGAGGATGGGATCCTTGGACAGTGAAGAGGTCGGCTCGGGGAGGTGTAGGGTGTTGGTGGAAGTAGCAGGCAAAGAGGGAAGGGCTTCACAGGAACTCCCGCACTCGCCTCCTCCTCAACGGCATCGCCCATGCTGTTGTTGATACTATCGCAGGCTTCATCCAACTATACAATTGTTTGTCTTAAAGTATGAGGAAAACCCTAGCTTGCGCTCGTAGGTCCTCACACTTGCCAATCAACTCTTCTGATAAGTTCTTGCCTCCCTCATACAATTTATAGGGCAAACTTACTTCATCGGCTTCCGACCCCCTTCGCTTCCTCTCCCATCTATTCATTTCCTCTCCCACTCTGTTCGGTTTCCTGACTCCTCACTTCCTCTTCTTCGATTCTTCATTTCCTCTCCCCCGGGTGACTAAAATGGGACGTTACATAAATAAAATTATAGGCCAACTCAAAATAACCATTTCGACAGTTTACAAGTGTGAGAATATTAAATTTAATCAAACAAGAAGAGAGACGAACATGAGAGCCAGAAGAATCATGCATGCAACTTTAACTGAGCCTGAGCATGTGAAGAAGAGAAGCGACGCGTGTGAAGAACAACTTCAAAACAGAGGTGGAGCGCAAGGGTGATCGAGTGCACCTAGGACAAGATGTTGAAGCCATCGGAGGAGAGATGCTTGCATGTCGATCTATTCGAGCGGTTTCAAGGTGGAAGAAGATCGAGCCTAGTGAGCATTACATGCTGGTTTGCGCAGAAGAGGAAAGGAAGCTCGTGTGGGGGAATAGGGTCAAATCCAGAACTTTAGGTGGGTAGGGTTATGTTATCAATTATAAAATATGTCATTTTACTTAATTAGATTATATTAATCATTAATATGAGAAATTTTTATTAAAATCAAAAGGTTGGGAAAATTTGGTTTGGAATTAGGAGAGTAGATGACAAGGGAGGAAAAAGATTTAAAGCAAATAAAATTAAAGTTTTAAATTTATTTATCTAAATTTGATGTTTAAAATAATATTAATGTTAGATCATATTAATTGTTGGTAGGAATCAAGATTTGAGATTTATTTGATAGTAAAATACAAAAAGTGATATTTTTTATTTCAAACAGGAGAAAAGAGGAAAGCAAAGGTTAGTTTTAATTTTATGTTAATGGCAATTACTTAAATTTAAAGTTTAGTAAGAAGTAATTTTAGAACATTGTCTTTGTCGGTCCCAAACTCGGATGTGAAAAGTGAAGGGTTGCGTTAGAAAGTTGACAACCGGCCTAAAAATTATCCAAAAAATCATGACATGAATCCTTTTGATCATTGTGTAAGTGCTAGGGCATCCCCTGGAAGCAACACGTTGTATGAGCTGAATAGAATGAAAAGTGTGTAAGGGTCGCTACACCGACGCCAGGGTGTACTTACGGACGAATGAGGGTAAAGAAGTTAACCCATGAAACTAATGAAACTAATATTAGGATGTGACTTTGGAACATAAATACTCTCAATGGTAAATTATTGAAATTAGTTGATATTATAATTCATAGAAAGATTAATATCTTATGAATTCAAAAAACTAAATGGGTTGGAGAAAATGCTAAGAAGATTGATAACTTGGGTTTTAAACTTTGGTATTCTGGTAAGAGTCACACTAAAAATGGTGTAAGTGTACTCATAGATAAGAGTTTGAAAAATAATGCTGTAAAAATTAATAGAGTTGGAGATAGAATAATAGTCATTAAGATTATTATTGATACTAAGATTTTTAATATAATAAGTGTTTTGCTCCTCAAGTAGATTAGATATAGGGTCTAAAGTTAAATTCTTGAATTACTTAGAAGACCTAATACAAATGATACCTCCTGAAGAAAGAATTTTTACTGGAGAAAATTTAAATGGACATGTCGGTAGAGTGGTAGAAGATTTCAAAAGTATTCATGGTGGCTACGGTTTTGGAGTGACTAACGAATAAGGTAGAGTCATTTTAGATTTTACTTTGGCATATGATTTTGTTATTGCTAATACTTGATTCAAAAAAAAGAGATGAGCATTTTATTATTTATTAGAATGAATCTAATAAAACACAAATTTATTATTTTCTTATGGGAAGAAGTGATCGTCGAGATTGTAAAGATTTTAAGGTCATTTCAAGTGAGGATTTATGTACCCAACATCAATTATTAGTTCTAGATTTTAAGATGAAGAGTTGTAAATTAAAGAATACTAGGACTCATCATCGTAGAATTAGATGGAGGAACCTAAAAGACAAATAAAATTATTTTTATGAGTAAAATTCAAAATTTTAAAATTTGGGATGTTCGTGAAGAAGCAAATGCTATAGGGGATAAAGTAACAAATACTATTAAACAAGTAGTTAATTATGTACTTGGAGAATCAAAAAAAAAATTTCTATAAATAAAAACAGTTGGTGGAGAAATACTAATGTGCAAGAAAAGATAAAATATAAGAAGTTATGTTAAAAAAATTGGTTTAAATGTAAATGCTTAGAGAAGTGGGAACCTGCAGGGAGTCTAAAAGAACAATATGTGACGTTAAAAATTCTGCTTTCAGTGATCTTTATAATAGATTAGATACTAAAGAGGGTAAAAAATATATGTATAAACTGTGAAAAATATATGTATAAACTAGCCAAACAAAGAGAAAAGAAAAGTAAATATTTAATTAATGTAAAGTGTATTAAAGATGAAAATTACTTTTCTTAGAGGAAGATATTCAACAAATACGATCAATGTAAGTAATCTTAATATCGTTAATACTAATAATAAAACTTCTTTATTTTTACAATCACATAAGTTA